GGGAAAGAGACTGTTTAACAAATGGGTTTCATGTCGACATCACTAACGCAGCTGATCCCAGATTAGATGGTCTGCCTCGGCCCCCAGGACGGGTCTTTCCCATGCGGAGTCGTGCCTTGGTTTGAGGGTCCCGAAGGGAGAAGCAGCCTGTGGAGGATGCACTGACCCCACCACCAAGACCAGTGTCTCACAGCCTAGTAATGACGCTACTACCTCTTACCTACTGCTTTCCTCAGGAGAATTTAATGCACATTAGGGCATGGAGGTCACTTTTATTATCCCTGTTTACAGATGGGGAAACTGAGGCAACCAGGCTCTAGTTCACAAAGGTTAGCGACTCAGCCAGGTCCCTCCAGCTACAACGGGAGGGAAAGAAGTGTACCTATCCCGACCCTAGAGCTACAGAGGGCCACGAGGTGCCAAGACACTGCAAGAAGGACAGACCGAGGTTGGGAATTGAACAGTGTTCCCCAAAGCCCCCGGCTCACCACCTCAGGCCTGGATCATCTTTCCTCTCTATTGTACCGCTTAGCAGCCATCTCCCTTCAGAGGGGAAAAAAGCCTCTGCCTCAGAACTAAGCCTCCCCAGTGCATGCCAAGGAGCTGGAAAAACCATTTGTGCAGAAAGCTTGCGTCCTGGCCACAGCGTAACCACAGGAGTAGCCTGAAAAACCCAGATAAACACCTCCAGCTGCGTTTCCAGAGGCGAAGAGCCCAGAGACCTCTGCCCTGAAGGAGGGACACTGGGCAATGGCATGGAGCAGAGCGCCGGAGCAGAACGGAGTTCAACACAGTAATGCTTGGGTGACGCCAGGAGGCCGGGTCTGAACAGGGTCCCTAGCCAGGATGCAGCTCGCACGCCTCGTTCCCTTGCTGCACTTTAAATTCTACCTCACGGGCCTCGATGTTTCTCTGGTTTTCCTTTAACTAAGTTCCAGCAAAGCCATTAAACCAAACAACTCCCCCCCCTGCAAACCCCGAGCTGCTGTAGCAAGAAACAGGCGCTGTGCAGTCAAAGGTGCCTAACAGCGATGTCTACATCAGGGCATTCCCACACGGAGAGGACTTTTTGAGCCTCTTGGATTTAATGCATTAAAACCAAAGTGAAAACTAAAGGAGACCTCCAGAGTAACTGCTCTCCTCCCCGCAAACGCACACAGGCCTCAGCTTTGCAGAACAAGCCTCGAGTGCAAATCCTCGGGGGTCGACGGGAGGACGGCAGCATCTGCACGTCCCTAGTTCACAACCCAGCATCCACAGCCCCCGCGGAGCCTGGGTAGAGGCGCTGAGAAGCGCTCGGGTTTTCCTTGGCAAACGCTTGTGCCGACATAATTTGGAGCCAAGACAGATTTTTATTCCCTCCTCTGGGCTTCCCATTCTCTCTGCATCTGTCTTTTGCGCTCCAATTTCCTCCGAGCAGGGAGCATTTTGGTACATCGTTGACACCAAAGTTACTCTAACGTTGGCTGGCGCTGAAGGAGAGGTGCTGGGCTGCCTGCTCTGCCGAGTGAAGTTTTCTCTCCGCAGCAAGGGAAGAAAATCTGTGAACTTCCCTCCCTCCCTTGTCCCCCTGCCCACTTGCTCCAGCCCTGATCTGAGAAGACCATCTTTAGGGACAAGAGGGGATTTTGGCCTTATAGCTCCTGGCAGTAGGTGGCTTAACTTGGAACAGCTTGAGAGCGAGAAAGTATAGCGGTATCCTTTGAAGAACTAGACCAAGAGGCCAGTGGCTGAGCTGGGGCAATTGGAGAGACTAGGAAGATGTGACAGAAGGGGCCTGTAACCACCTGGGAGTGGGTTAAGAAAACCTTGGCCATGACGGGCACACTGGGCAGAGAGGTCAGGACTACCCAGGCGGATTGGCTTGCAGTAGTTCTGGGCATGATCTCCATCTGCTCCTTGACTCTTTTCATACCCAAGAGATCTCTGACCCTCTTTAATTTCTCTGACCATTTGCAATTTCCTTTTTTCCCCTGAAGAAGGACGTGCGTGTCTGAAAGTTTGCAAAGAACAACTTTTGTGCAACTATTCAGTTGGTCTAATAAAAGATACCGTCTCTACCCGAAGAGGCTTCTTGGGCTTTTACTTTCTTGCGCTTGGAAGCAGTCAAGTCCACCTGAGTAAACAGCCCTGGAAGGAGGGCTGGGATGGAAAGCCGTAACAACAGCTGTGCCACACACAGAGCAGAGAGAATCGGGCTCTCCTGAGGCTCGACTGCAATGGAAACTCCCCGCATCCACACAGGCCTGGCAGATGCCAGCAAACTCCACTGGCCACAGCTGCCCCCTCCTCCTCCAGAGGGGCCAGTCCCCAGGAGTCATTCCAGAGGCCCATCTTCCTGGCAGATAAACCACTTTACACCCAAAGGGGTTGGGATGAGAAGGGAAGGAGACTGGACATCTTCCCTCAATCCCAGAGGTGATCCCCTAGACCCTGCTCCCAACTCAATGCCCATCCCTTCAACATCCATGCCACACAGGGATGAGAGGCAGCAGCGAATCCCACAGGGGGATGGATGCAGCCATGGGACATCTGCACTGCCACACAGAGGAAGGGGAAGGAGCCCGTCTTAGCCAGGCTGTGCCTTGTCAACAGAAGGAAGGCTGTGTCCCATCCAGGTGGAGCTGCACCATGCATTACCCCTAAAAGACAGAGACTACCGAGCCCCGAAGGCAGAGATTTCAGGACCTGTTACTTCCCAGCCACAGATTTACACGTGCCCAGGGGTACACTCTACTTTGAGAGGACAAGGGCATTGGCCCAGGAGTTGGGTACCGACACATCCCTGACTAGACCAAGTGCCTTCCCTGTCCCTGCGCCCCGGGGGCATGGTACACAACAGTCACTGCCGTCCCTGCACCCCGGGGGCATGGTACACAACAGTCACTGCCGTCCCTGCGCCCCAGAGGCATGGTACACAACAGTCACTGCCGTCCCAGCACCTCGGGGGCATGGTACACAACAGTCACTGCCGTCCCTGCGCCCCGGGGGCATGGTACACCACAGTCACTGCCGTCCCTGCACCCCGGGGGCATGGTACACAACAGTCACTGCCGTCCCTGCACCCCGGGGGCATGGTACACAACAGTCACTGCCGTCCCTGCACCCCGGGGGCATGGTACACAACAGTCACTGCCGTCCCTGCACCCCGGGGGCATGGTACACAACAGTCACTGCCGTCCCTGCACCCCGGGGGCATGGTACACAACAGTCACTGCCGTCCCTGCACCCCGGGGGCATGGTACACAACAGTCACTGCCGTCCCTGCACCCCGGGGGCATGGTACACAACAGTCACTGCCGTCCCTGCACCCCGGGGGCATGGTACACAACAGTCACTGCCGTCCCTGCACCCCGGGGGCATGGTACACAACAGTCACTGCCGTCCCTGCGCCCCGGGGGCATGGTACACCACAGTCACTGCCGTCCCTGCACCCCGGGGGCATGGTACACAACAGTCACTGCCGTCCCTGCACCCCGGGGGCATGGTACACAACAGTCACTGCCGTCCCTGCACCCCGGGGGCATGGTACACAACAGTCACTGCCGTCCCTGCACCCCGGGGGCATGGTACACAACAGTCACTGCCGTCCCTGCACCCCGGGGGCATGGTACACAACAGTCACTGCCGTCCCTGCACCCCGGGGGCATGGTACACAACAGTCACTGCCGTCCCTGCACCCCGGGGGCATGGTACACAACAGTCACTGCCGTCCCTGCACCCCGGGGGCATGGTACACAACAGTCACTGCCGTCCCTGCACCCCGGGGGCATGGTACACAACAGTCACTGCCGTCCCTGCACCCCGGGGGCATGGTACACAACAGTCACTGCCGTCCCTGCACCCCGGGGGCATGGTACACAACAGTCACTGCCGTCCCTGCACCCCGGGGGCATGGTACACAACAGTCACTGCCGTCCCTGCACCCCGGGGGCATGGTACACAACAGTCACTGCCGTCCCTGCACCCCGGGGGCATGGTACACAACAGTCACTGCCGTCCCTGCACCCCGGGGGCATGGTACACAACAGTCACTGCCGTCCCTGCACCCCGGGGGCATGGTACACAACAGTCACTGCCGTCCCTGCGCCCCGGGGGCATGGTACACCACAGTCACTGCCGTCCCTGCACCCCGGGGGCATGGTACACAACAGTCACTGCCGTCCCTGCGCCCCGGGGGCATGGTACACCACAGTCACTGCCGTCCCTGCACCCCGGGGGCATGGTACACAACAGTCACTGCCGTCCCTGCGCCCCGGGGGCATGGTACACCACAGTCACTGCCGTCCCTGCACCCCGGGGGCATGGTACACAACAGTCACTGCCGTCCCTGCGCCCCGGGGGCATGGTACACCACAGTCACTGCCGTCCCAGTGCCCCGGGGGGCATGGTACACAACAGTCACTGCTGTCCCAGCGCCCCGGGGGCATGGTACACAACAGTCACTGCCGTCCCTGCACCCCGGGGGCATGGTACACAACAGTCACTGCTGTCCCTGCACCCCAGGGGCATGGTACACCACAGACACTGCTGCGTTTGCAACTCCGGTAGTGAGAGCAGCTGAGCTGAGGTGGGACCGAGCTCAGCGGGGGCTAAAGGCCCAGGTATCTACTCCAATTCTGAGACAAGATTTGCTGCCATGGCTACACTGCTAATAGACCCAGGCCACCTCGGGTTTATCTAGTGCGGCCGTAACTCCATCTATATAATGGGGATAATGACATCTGAAACACCTGCCTTTAAAGAGCTCTTTGGAGGGCTCGGAAGTGAGAAGCCTGAGGTCGGAGGCAGCGCTGATGGACAGAGACTCGGGGCTCAGGAGCGAATACGGGCTTGCAGCCAGATAGGGGACCCCGCTCAACAAAACCAGACCCATCTGCTTCCCACCAGGCGCCTGGGACTTTCCCTGCCCCGAGTGACCGCGGGTTTGCTTGTACGATTCTTCCGCAAACGCTCGTCCCCGCCAGCCCCGCTCCCCCCCGGCCGCACAGGGCAGGGCAGGACAGGACGTCCCTCTCTAAACAGGCGCTTGGTGTCCCGGGGTCCCAGGCTGACGCTCTTTGATCTGCTCCATCTCGGCGGGGCGGGGTGCGACTATCAAGCCCCCCAGGAGTGACCCCAGAGCCCCGCTGGGCAGGCTCGTCCCCTGGGTCCGCGCCCCCCGGCCCTACCCGTCGGAAGTCGGCGGTGAGGGACAGCAGGGTGCCGTCGCCCTTGCGCAGCTCCAGGCCGATGCAGTCGGCGCC